GAGTGCCCTCGTGTGAACGCCTTAAGGGACTAGTCCCTGCTACCGGTCCCCTCGTGTAAACCCTTCAAAGACTTGTCGCCGGGACTAGTCGCACGGACTAGTCGTAGGGACTAGTCCCCTCGTGTGTGCCGACCTTAAAGACTTCTTTCCTTTTTTTATAATTCTTGATCTCAAAAAAGAAACAACAACTTTGAGTTTAAATTTACAAGACATGTTTCGACATTCTCATGTCATCTTCAGTTGCAAATTCTTGATCTGCTCTGAACACCCGATAATACAATCTAATTCAGGAAGTCTGTATGATTCTTACTTGGTTGGGATTCTGCTAGAATATTCAAATTTAATACTTAAACTGCAAGAAACAAGCAAAAAAAAAACAAACGAAGAGACAGACAAACAAGAAAAAAACTAATAAACAAAACAAAAAAAACACCTTTCCATACTCTAATCCATCGCAAAAAAAAAGCAATAGAATGGTAGTATAGCTTAATGGCATTGTTTTCGTACAACCCAGCGGCGCTCGGTTCGTTTGCCACAATCGAGGGCTGTTATTTCACGGCCTCCTCCGCGCGGTTCATTGGAAGATAAATGAATGAAGAGGGTAAGTTCTAAGAAACAGTGGTGCTGCATTGTTGGGGGAGTATAACAAGATAATTTGGTTTTATCAAATGAGTAGTTAACGTAAATTGGCCATCTTAAAGAGTTCCAAAGCTGACATTTGGAGCATGACAGTTTGCGGCCTTTCCTTGCATCGAAGTGGTTTGGAATGCCGGAAAACTCTGGAACAGAAATTTATTTATGACATCGGCACCCTTTTTCTCCACTGAATCAACGATCGCCTTTCATTCAATTAATTTATTCCCCTTGACTAAATCCTTGACTAAATCCCTGGATCCGCCCCAGATTATGTAATAATTGTTTTTGATATCATTTACATTCAAGGTGAGACTGGCTCTGGGAAAAGCAGCTTAATAAATCTAGTTCTGGGAGAAGAACTTCTTCCTTATTCAGTGCTCAGCACAACTTCCACAATTTGTGAATTGCGATATGGGGAGAAGCGTAAAATAGTGGCCCATTTCAAAGACAAGGATTCCAAAACAGGGCATGAAACTTTCGAACATTTCCTGGAGCAGCCAACAGAAGCCTCTGGAGAAAGTTATCTTCAGCAGCTCTCTCCATTTGTACAAGTGAAGGATGGTGATCGAGAGAAAGGTTCCGTGTACAAAAAGATTGAACTCTACTGGCCTCATCAACTCTTGCAGGTAGCTACAACTCGCTCATTCAAGCTTTGCTGATTAGCTAAGAAATGAAAGAAATCGTTATTAATTCTCACTATTATTTTTGATACAGTTAAGATCAGAAAGTCAGTTCTAATCAAAATCTCATCCTGATTGGTTAACGAAACGAGCGTTAAATTGCGAGTTGAAAACGAGACTAAATGGTATCGTTCGCAACTCTTGTTCTGCGCTCAGAACAAAAACAAATAACGCTGTGAAACAAACAAAAGCCATGAGTGAGGAATATGGGATAAAACTTGGCAGACTTCAATGTGGGCTGAGATGTCGTTCGTTTTCTGTTGTTACACTCATTCAATCACTCAATAGGACAACATTATGGCTTCACCTCCATAGTGGGCAGTAGCCTTACAAAAAATATCGGAGTATTTAAAAAAGTATGGGACTAAAATCGTTTCTTTTGCTTTAAGAAGTAATAACATCACAACTTATTCTTTTCTCAGTTCGTGAGGGGGCGGTATTTATGCATAAAACATGCGTATGGCCCATACTAAGTACATTCAGTGCTAAGGTTTGCAAAACATATGTCTTTGCTCATTAAAAAAACATCCGTTTCCTGACGATTAAAATGTAGAATTTTTCCAACAAGTATTTGAACTTGATTTTGTATCACATACCGAGAATAAGATTCATCGATGGACCAAATGATGATACTCTGATTATAAAGGGAAAAGCATGAACTACCTTATAGATTATGCAAACTTCGAGGAGATCCCTTTTCAATATAGGATTTTACATCTTATAACCAGATAAAGGTAAAGGTTCACTACCCTAAAGATATCAGCACACCACAGTGGTCAGAGAATATAAATAATAATAATAAAGATAATAATAACGATGATAATAATGATAATGATAATGGTAATAACAATGATAATAGTAATAATAATGATAACAGTAATAATAATGATAATAGTAATAACAATGATAATGGTAATGATAATGATTATAATAATGATAATGGTAATAACAATGATAATGATAATGATGATGATAATGATAATGATAATGATAAAAGTGATAAATATGATAACGGTAAAAACTTAATTTGATTATATTTTTCTCGTCAGAACGGCATTGTTATTGTAGACAGTCCTGGAATTGGAGAATCCGAAATCATGGATGAAGAGGTTGTTAAGTATCTACCTGAAGCTTTTGCTTTTGTTTACGTCATCAACAGTGAAAACGCTGGAGGAGTCCAGAAAGACAGGGTCAGTGTTGAGGATAAACACCATTCCAAAGTGATAACAATTTAGTGAAGCGAATAGAGCCCCGTTGAAGTACTTTTATATGTCAGAGTTTGAGCCATTGTCTCTTAGAAGCATTCAAGCTATTAAAATGATATTGAGGAAGTTAAAAATCTTACTCTTACAGCTCGAAAAGTTGCTGGAAGAAGTAAGGAAAGTGACACTTAATGAGAGGGGAGAATTTTCATCCAAGTGCGCCCTGTTCGTGTGCAACAAGTGGGACCAAATACCGCAGAGAGAAATCGAAGAGGTCAAGTACTATGTAGTCAGGAAATTGGAAAAATGTTGGCCCGGTCTTGTTGCAGAGGCACAGATCATCTACATGTCAACAAAAAAAGCCACTGCTGCTCAGAAACTGGGAATCATCACAGGTGACTTCTTCTACTTAATGAATGGTATTAGATCCACGGTCGTGAAGAGCATGGAGGTCAGACAGGAAAATTATTGGAAGTAAGCATCGTTATGCTTTTGTTTAAATTGTTGATTGACTTAGAATCTCATCATTGGGTGAAAATAATGTAATAAATTTCCTAACTCATTAACTAAGACACTTCAGAACTCAGCATGACTATAAATATACCTATAGACGTAAAAAAATTTTGTGCCGCTGTAAAAGAAGTTAGTTTAAAAAAAAATGGTCTTGGCATGGGGTTTAAAGGTCAGGAAATATGAAAAATATGAAATATCAATTTTGGGAGGATGATTTTATTTATCACTGATCGTTTCCCTTAGCCTGCAATGATTGTTTGCTCGAGGTGCTAAGTCGAGATGAGGGTAGCAAAACGTATCGAAATTTAGAACTGTCTGATAGTAAGATAATTCGCTGAGTGCCCTTCCCTCTCTGGTAAAAATTAAGATTCAAAACAACAATCACCTCCATAATTGTTGCAGAATAGACGCAGCCGAAAAAATCAAGAAACTGAGTGCTAATATTTTAACAAGAAATCTTAAGCTACACCCGTATCTTATGACAGGAACTCCTATCAATTCTGCAACATGATTCAACCATTGTTTCCTCTTCTGAATCTGAGAGGGCTCCGCTAATTTTTTTGTTTGCTTACTACCTCCCTGTCTATCTCTGATGTAAATCCATGATATTGATTGAATACATTTATCTGTATTTCAGATGGCTCGATTATCTCCTTTCAAGGATAGTATACCAGGCCAAGGCCTTTGTTATGAATGCCAATAGAAAGCGCAGCAATGTCGTCAAGAAAATGGAAAGAATTTACCAGCGTCTGTCAACTATTGAAAGAGAACAAGATGAAGTGATGGAAGACCTCCGAAAACATCTGAAGGCTAAAATCAGTGAGGCACTTCAAAAGCTGTCCAAATTTCTCACGTCGGATGAGGTTAGGACACGTTTTACCTCATGGAACTTGGATGAGGTTCCTGAGGTAGAGGTCTCGTGGCAGGTTACAGAAAACAAAATCGATAAAGCATTGCAAGGACGGTTGCGGGAAATCATAGAGCATTGGGAGGAAGAGAAACAAGTCTTTACTGATGCTCGAGATTCCCTTTTGCAGTACTTTCAGGAACAGTACGATTTTGTTGAGGGACAAATCCAGAATTTACAAGAAAGTGTCACGACTGATGACCCAATCAGTGTTGCAAAAGCTGATCCCTCTGCTGAAAGGTTTTCTACGGCAGCAATAATTGCTATCGGTGTTACCAGCCCTATCTGGGTTCCACTCACTCTGTTTGCTTTGGTGATCGGCAGCCCTGTAGTCGGTATCATCTCGATCAAAAACAAAGTTGAAGATTCAAAGAGACTTAGGAGGTACGAAAATGACAAATGCTCTTTCATGGCCGAGAGGTCAGCAGAATACCTCAACCATGGCACAAATGATTCTGTTCTCAAGGTGTTCGTAAAGAGCCAGCTAAGAGGCGCAAAATTGTGTCTGAAGCAGATTGAGGCCCGCATTCCAGAGCTGATACATGCTGACAAGATGTTATGCAATCAACTCAGGCACGAAACGCGGTCATGCGATGAGATACAACGGTCATACCAGCCACTACTGGATCATGCATCTGATATAAGAGGGCAGCTGGCGTTATTTGGCATCAAAGAAATCCGCGGCGCCGATATCAGCAGCGAGGATCTAGAGTGGAACGCAGACATGTCATTTCTTGGTCAAGGAGAGTTTGCAACGGTGATCGAAGGGAAGATGAAGAGGCATGGCGAGGAGCAAAATATTGCATTGAAAATATGGAAGGAAGCCCTCGACATCAACAATGCGAGTCAGATTTTGGCGGAAGCAAGTCTTCTGAGGTAAGAATTGTTCTTACTTTGCAATTCAACTCGGAATTTTATTTCATTTTAAATCCCCCAGGAACTGCATAAACCTTACGCAAAACAAACTTCAAAACTGTGTAAATCCAACGGTAAAGGATTTTGGCACGAACAGGGATACACCCATCCTCGGAGACCCAAGGGCTGTGAGTCGATTTCAAGTTAGGGCATGAAGAGCCCCTGGGGACATTGAAAACCGTCTGAAATACATACGGAAGCAATTCAAATGAACTTTTCTTCCAATTCAAGCGGTAAAGTTTGCAATTGTTTGTTAAACTTACCATTCCTATATTCCCAAGCGACCATTTCTTCCAACAATTCAAACACTACAACTAGTGTTCGAATTTCCCTTGTCGATTCCACCGTAAGAAATAACCTGTGTCACCCAAGCTTCGACTCGAATGTGAAGTACGAATCACATAACACAACTGCTTCATCTTCGAGGCAATATCAGCCTGGTTTTTTTATTTTCTGATCGACAAGAACGGCGATCACGAAGCGATTGCCATGTTTACCTAATAAACGAACCGCTGACCAGCCGCTAAGTGAAAACAGTACGGCTCAGTGGTGAGGGGGAGGGTGTGGGGTGGGTGCGGGCAGATTATCAGAAG